TATATATATATATATATATATATGAGGTAAGATCTTAATTAAGTAGAAGAGATGACTCCACATTAAATGCAGATCAAATTAAAGATAATTTGACCAAGTAATTAATCTTGTGATCTACCTTTTCTTTTTGAGGTTTAATTAATTGAAGTGAAAAGAAAAAAACATTTAAGCATGCAGGAGATTAGCATGCATATAATACAATCGTCGTTCAACAAGAAATTGGGATATGCATGTTTTATGAAACGTGTTAAACAAAACACTTCTTTTTTTGTTTTTTTGTTATAATGGTTGAATGAATATATCTAGGTCTTTTTTGTTTTTTTTAATTATCGGGTAATTGAAATTAACGATATTTCTATTATTTAATTGTGTCACAGAAAACCTACCATGTGAGATTTTAGACACTCTCTCTCTCTCAAAAATTACATATTTTTCGAATACAAATTCGAGATCTCTAATTAAAAATTGTGGAGCTTTTTATCATTTCAACCACATCCTTGGTGGTGTCAACATCTAGGCTTTGCACGTGTAATTATAGGTTCTGATTAAAAAATTAATGTCTAAAGTCTATATATTCTTTATAAGTTTATATTTCATTGTTTCAAATATCACTTGAAATAGGGCCGAACAGAAGAAACTATTCGACTTGTAATGAGTTGAAAAATACACTATTCTGTGGTGGTGCATATTTTAATCGAATCATATAATTGTGTTAGTAAGAATAAAGCACGAATATTAAAATTAAAGACTTACTCAATACAAAACAATGATATTCTTCTTGAAACAAACTAAAAAGAAAAGTAATACACATAAATTAAGAATTTGAACAGTTTAATTTCAAGTAATAATATAAATCTCTCGTGACAGTCAATTTCTCCTTGAAAGCAAATAAGGGTGAAGCTCATTGCTTCAGCATAGTTTAAGTTATTATATATGGAGATTATTAGTTCAAAGAGAAAATTTGACAATAATAATGGAAAGTATGGTTTAGGGTTATAAAAGTTTTTGAAGATAAAATCAAGCAAATAAAGTTAGGGGTCACTTATAGATTCAAGACATTCCAAAGTCAAAAATCCAACCTAAGTTCATATATAGACAATAAAGAGCAATAAATAGGACTTTTTGTGTTGATATCGGATATCGGATAATTATATATAGAAACCAAAATCTCATACTCCACTAGTGTGATTCTACTGGGTTATTGTTGTTGTAAACCAAAATATAATATGAGGCAGAAATATGCAAGAGTCAAATTTCTAAACTCATAACCAACAACAATAGCAGTAATTACGCATCAATTCCAAATAAATAACGTACATACAATATTTCTGTAACATATTATCATATGAGTTGTGAAAAAAAATGACAAAACGATGCAAACCGAAATATAATATGATGAGGCAGAAATATGCAAGAGACAAAATTTTAAACTCATAACCAACAACACTAACAGTAATTACGCATTAATCCCAAATAAATAAAGTACATACATTTTTTGTACATATTATCGTGTGAGTTGTGAAAAAAATGACAAAACGACGCAAACCGAAATATAATATGACGAGGCAGAAATATGCAAGAGACAAGTTTCTAAACTCATAACTAAGCAATAGGAATAACNAACTTCAAAACCTGTATGTTTGAAGTTTTTTGAAAAATTTAAACCCGTTACTTTTTAAGTATTTTAAAATTTCATACCCATAAGTCTAAAATTCATTCTAAAGTGGTTAAACTTATAAAAAATTATTTTAAATAGCGATCCTCAAATTGGTTAGGGATCTTCATACAAATAGCAGGCTATATATATATATATATATATATATATATATATATATATATATATATATATATACTAATTTTAATTTAAGCGGCTGAATGAAAAGCTTTTTAGGTTAATTTTTCAATTGTTTATATGTGCTCTTCCCTCTCTTTTGATGCTTTAAAAATGGGCCTTAGCCAATTTAATTTGAAAAAATGACACTGTATAACCGCTCTCAAAATAATAATTAAATTTTTATTTTATTTTATATATATACATTCTGTATGTCATATACAAAAATTATATAAATTTTATATACTTTTTCGGCTATCGAATAGAAATAATATTTGGTGTGGGCTAAAGGCGAAAAAAACCCATTTGATTATGGGTGAGCCCGATCAAACGGGTCGCCAAGCCTATGGCACCGGGTTTCCGTCCAACAAATTCCAGAATAAAACATAAATATACGACGATCAATATACAGTCTTTTATCTTTCGAGAACCAAAGCTACGCACGTGTTCGCTCTTCGATTCCTCTTCATTTCAGGTAAAATTTTCATAAACTTTCTTCAATTTCAATTCGTAAAAACCCTAGTAATGAATCCCCAAATGCGTAATTTCCCAATTTTCATCCAATCGCCTGAGCTTCAGATCCCCAATCATGTCCTTAATCTCGAAAACCCTAACCCTAATTTCACTTTGCAAAGCCTGAAATCCAATTTAATGGACAAAATCCAGAAATCACTAGGCTCAATTAAGGATAATTCTGTCTATTTTACATTCAACGGTCGGCCCATTAAGGATTCAACTTTATTACATGGTTCTGGGATTAGCCCTTTTTCCACTTTAGTACTCCGCCTTCGCCTCCGTGGAG